TACACCACTTTGAGCACTCGGCCATAGGCCATCGCGGCTGTTCCTATACTGTGTTGAGGAAAAGTTCTTGAAATGAGGTAATTCCTATGTACAGGCATCCTAGCATTGGTGGATGATTGAAGAAAAAATAAGAGAAAAAGGAGCCGTATAGAGTCGAGAGGAGGGGGGGGCATGTTTGATGAAAAATTTTCTTATTGTTCATTTCTCCGTTTACGCTTCGATAAGTTACCTCCAACTGGCTCCGTGACAGTTTTACCATTTCTGACAGGTGTTCCGTAGCTGATGCAATCTTTCTACGCCTCCTTTCGATAAAAATTGAGAAATTGTAGGAGTTAGGGAGAAATTGCCCTCTTCACTATGCCCAACCCAGGTCCTGATTTTTTTGTGGTGCGGTGCAACCGGACGACCCATCTTAAAGAGCACTTTTTGTGATAAGGCTATAATCTCTCAAATGTGTCAGATCCGGAAGGCGATTCTGGAGGCTGTGCTACCTTCAAAAAGTGAAAACTGGCAAGAACTCCGCTGGAAGCTGACCAATTAGGCCCATGGGCACCCCTTAGGCCCATGCCGACCCCACCGGCTGCTAGCTACTAGCTAGTAGCCACTATGCTATCTCTCTCCATTCCGAATGGTGAGAGTGAGGTGATAAGATAAAGAGCTGATATCGTTATGATAACGACGAGTGGAAATTCGTACAAATGCGCCTTCCCTTCACTGCATGCAGGTAAAGTCGTCATCCGGGCAGTTGATTAGCCGGCCAAAGGGTCGCGACGCGGCTGCAGCGCGTCACGATCGCGGCGATCAGCTGTTTCCAGCCTAATTTAGCAATTTTCTCCCTAGTTTTCACTGTATTTCTTTTTTCCAAGGTAGTTGCGTCATTGTCTATATGAAGTATATCAAGACGTGAATTCTTTTTTTTGTTCTTGTAATGGAGTGTTTTTCGCGATTTTTTTAGGTGTTTGTTTAATCGTTTAATTGTTCGCAAAAGTTAGAAAAATCTCAATCATAATTTATCTTGTGAAGACAAGGAACAGCTAACCTTGAAAAAAGCAGCCAAAACCAGTGAAAAGTAGAAATGACTAAACCAGGCCGGAAACGACCGATCGCCGCCAACCGTTCCTACGTACGCGGCCCTGCTGCAGCCGCGTCTGCGGCCCTTTGACGACCGCCCTAATCAACCGCCCGGATGACGAGGGTACAAGTTGGGCTGGGCATGGCTGTGTTTTCGGCATGTGTTCTCCAATATTCAGTTACCTAGCACTTTGTCGTTTTCATTTGAGCTCTGTTACCCGCTACATGTTGTCGCGGGCTTTGCCTCTAACCATAAGTCTACAGTCCTGCGACTTTCTTTTGGTACCCTTTTGCCTCTAACCATAAGTCTACAGTCCTGCGACTTTCTTGGGGTACCCTTTCTGTTGCGAGCAGCCACTACTTATATAGGGTTTTTCATACCTGTTCAAAATTTGTTCTGAACGCTCGGCAGTACGATGGATTCGTTCGTCGTTTGAACTTTGTTTCCGGATATCTTTCTCTCTTTCCATGTCTTCTATACATTCTTCTTCGAACGAGTGGATTCTTTCGATTTGTTCTTCGGACAGGAAAAGTTCTAAATATGAGGGTGTTATAGACGTTTAGGATATTAATGAAATGCGCCAAACTCCTGAGACTTCCAGAAAAGACATTTTCAACTGGAAATTCACGAAAAAAGCAAAAGAGGTTTATTCAAGAGCATCGTACACTTGCCGTCAATTTTTATAATTTCAGCATACTTTCCCTTCCCCAGATGTCTCTGTAGAGAAGACGAGAGAAACTAGTCAGAAGTTGTACTACAGCCGTGAGATGTGGCCAAGATAGCAATTTATCTACGCGGCCACTTGATATCACTACCTACCCAAATCATCTTGCATTTTTCGTCACGACGTGCAGTCGTTATCACTAAAGTCTGTCGGGGCGTGTCAGCGCGGCGTGGGTTTTGACACGTTGCTCCCCCCTGCCCCTTTCCCACAGCTACAGGACACTTGAAAGAACTATAGATGGAGCGTGACTAGCGCGCGCCAAAATCAGTGCCCAGCTGACACGCCCCGACTGACTTCAGTGACCGTAGCTGTAGTGATTCATATAGGGTAGGTTGGTAAGTCAAAAAACATGTGATCTTGAGGTACCGAAATGAGCGTAAACTCAGCAGACGCTAGGACTTGTCGGAAGGGGGGGGGGAGAGACAAGTTATGGAGCAGTTGGAGACAGGGTTTCTCCTTACTAATACAGGTCACTGTTGGGAGCAGTCGGCGTCTTACGGTATAGGAGAAGGACCAGTCTTATCACTCTAGTTCCGGTCCGAAACTCAAAGTGTAAGGATTCTTAAGAGCCTAATTGTGTATTTGCCAGGTTCCGTGGCTGGATTCCAGTCAGATATTTTCTGAACAATTTATTAAAGCGTATTAGGAGCCTACAGCTACAGCTAGAAGTGGAAAGGTTGGCAGATGCTCGAAAAATCATTCAATTGGAAACAATTCATGAAATGTTTAAATTCCGGTGCACTGGAGCACTGCAGTTGAATAGGAGTTAAATAATAAAATTATAAATATGATAAATAGGATACAAAGAGCATAAGTAAGAGTATACTCACTCAGAGAGGCGTCAAGAAGATTCTTCCTGGAGAAATTCCGCACACGAACCCATCGAAACAACCAGTAGAGATGGTAAAATATGGTGAGCGGTGGTGGAATAAACGGTGTACTGTCGTATTCCATCACCTACAAATATTCCAAATTTTCCCATTTTACAAGTCAGCAATGAATTAATTAGACTGATCAATCCGCTTTCGTTGGTAGTCGTCAGATGAGAAGTCTGACGACTTTCCAGAATAGCCGGCTTAGGAAGGATCCACTCACTCACTTCCTTCGTATCCGTTTCTCAGCAGTTCGCAACGCACAGATTTTGGCGAGAGTGTGGGATATGGGCTAATCGGTATAAGATTCGACTCACGTTCTGGTCTACCAACAAGCTGACTAGTCTTCTCCCTGGCGTTAATCGCGCGCCGTCGCGGAATTCGCTGTTTTTGTTATACGTCACACTCTTCTCCTGTCCGGGACATTCTCTGATGTGGCCTTCACTTTAGTGAGGTCTTTCTTGATCTGGTCGCTCCACATTTTCTTGGGGCTGATCGTGGTCGTTTGCCTTGCGCTTCAACGCCCGCCGCCTACCTAATCGGGTGTTTCTTGGGCCTTCTCAGCACGTATCCACACCACTTTAGTCGCTGCTGTCATACCTTCAGCTCGATTGGAGCCGTCTACGTGACCGCTCTGATATCCTAGTTTCCTATTCTCTTCAGACGAGTCCACCCGCATGCCCATTTCAGCATTTTCAAAAAAAATTTTTTTTTTTCAAGCAGGGAAAAAGGGGGTTTTGGGGGGGAAGAAGTTTATTTTTCATGGCTCTTGCCCAAGAGCCCACATTCGCTGCTGCAGAACACCGCAGGCGTTACCATTGCCCAGTACTCCATGCTTTTGAAGGTCGCGGAGCATCGCGATCGCCGAGAATGTCGGTAGGCCCCTGCACTTTCTCCAAGACGCACTTGCTCGCGCCTTCACTGCCAGGTTCACGCTATCACCATGCGCCAGATCCCTTCCCAAGAAGCGAAGTTTCCCCACCCTTGGATTCTTCGTGACTGCCCTTGATAGGCACGATGGACTCCTCGGGGTTTGGGAGCTTGATCTTCTTCAGGTTCAACTGGAGGGCTGGTATGAGGTCCTTCGCCATGATATCAGGATTTAGTTAGAAATGCCACACTCCACCTCGAGCGGACGTGCCGCCCCTGCCAATGCTAGTTGATCCACCCTTTTATTGCGATTCACGTCGCTGTTCAGCGGATGTGCTCTCTATTGTTTCCTTAGCCTCCACCATATCACCGTCTATTTCTCTTTTCTACGCGCAGGACCTCTTAGTATTCTTGCGTAGAGCTCCAGAACAACTGGGTCTTACTTCAATTTTCGACGGTTCTCCTGCTTTTTATCTCTAGTATCTACCCAGCTAGCATTTTCTTTCAAGCTTTATTTAGAACTTAATGGCAATGACTTGCCATAGCGGAGTCTTTTAATACGGTTTTCCAGCTACATAAAAGATTCAAAAGGGTCGAGTTAGTGTACAATTTCACACTCACCCTCTCTAATAGGCCTGTTCCAACGCCCCTGTGGAATGGGAAACGATAGTGTCTCTAAAAGAGTTCGAACCGGTATTTAGTTGTTTTTGATTGACGTCTGGACGTTAGCGAACTTCTTGCGTAACGATCCCCTTCCTCTCGCCACACCCCCCCCCTCTATCAGTCACCACACTACGTATGAAAATCAGTGATCCAAATAGAACTGACGTGTTTTTTCGATACTATAGATGACAACCACGAAACCTATGAAAAGAAAATCTGACCCCTGTCAGAGGCCGGTGGTTTTCTTTTCAACTAATCGGCATTATTGCGATGACAGCTAGGCTACAAACTGTGACGAGAAACAACAGTCAGCAAAAAGTAACAGGAACAAAAACGTAGAGCGGAACCTGTTGTATCAGTGTCAACTGGATAGGACACGTGTTTTGAGGTCGAATGTAGTCCATCCGATTGTCTACAACCGTGAAATATCTCTGTTCTTGTGAGTCTTTCCATACATTTACCCAACATTCCAGCCAACTGCATTTCAGGGTCGAAGAAGATGTTTCAAAAGTGGTTTGCCTTTCTGGTGGGTCAATGGTTACTCAAAGTATATTCATGGAAGTACGCCCTTAACTATTCCTTGACGGAAGTTTGCAGGTAGTCGCAGCAATTCTTCACAATGCCGCTCCCAATGTGATTAGCAACGTCGTCAAAAGAAGTGCGGATGCTGATCATGGTTAGTAGTTGAAAGCACACGTCTTGAACTGGGACGGGCACCACAACAGCACATTGTAGGACCTGTGGTTCTTTAGAAGATGATAATCGGTTTCCTAAGGCTGCGTTCATATTCTGCGACAGCGTCCACCAGCGTCTACCAGCGTCCAGTAGCGTTCTGAGCGTCCGGCAGCGTGAATGGGAAGGTATAGATATCAATCTGGTGCCTGTTCGCGTCTGGAGCGTCCACTAGCGTTCACCAGCGACGGGGAGTAGATAGTGTGGGAAATAGGAGGGCAGCAAACAGCTCAATTAGGCGAAACTGCGGCGTGTACAACCGCACCGCACTACGGCTAAAGCACAGAATTATGCAATTAATACTCTGTGTAGTGCAGTTGTACGGTGTGGTTGCACACGCCGCGATTTCACGACGCCTAATCCAGCTGTTCGCTACCCTCCTACTTCCTCATACTCTCTACTCTCGGTCGCTGGTGAACTCTGGTGGAGGCTGGAAGACGCTGACAAGAAGCATAGGATTCGATACGTATTCTTCCCTAGACCTGAAGACGCTGGCAGATGCTGCTGAACGCCAGCAGACGCTAGATCGATATCCGTGCTTTCCTAGCCCTCAGGACGCTGGTAGGCGCTAGTGGACGCTGGCAGTCGCTGGTGGACGCTCCGCATCGTATGTTGGACGCTCGCCGCCAAAGCTATGAACGCAGCCTTAACTGTTATACTTAACTAGCTACTTCGCCAGTAACAGGAGATAAATCAGCCAGTCCCTACAACGGCCGTGCGAACACATTCCGCTCTGTAGTTGGCTCAGGTCTTACGATGGGTTCCAAAGAGTTCTGAAAATGAGAGAGAGAGAGATAGCAAGATGGAATGGGCGGGGGGGGGGGGAAAAAAATTCAGTGCAGCATCGTGCGAGCTGCAGCCTAATGAAAGCATTACTGCTGACGGTCATCATTGGTGTAGCGGATCCGCTGCACAATAGTTTGCGATTTACGAGAGGTGGCACGGGGATTTAATCAAGATCTTTAGGCGGAACGGGTTCCAGCATCTCGCAAAAAATGAATTATCCACTTAGAGCTACTCCCGAAGATCAGGCAGAAATCTATTTATATAGGGACTAACCACGGTACGCCAGCGCCGCATCATTATTTTGGATCCTTCGACTAAAGCGACTTTCTGGCATTTTGTTCCCAACAAGGAGGGTAACCATGCTTTTGTGAAGCTCGCAAATGGGGCCCTATTTGGTCGCTGGGATGAGTGATGTCGCTCTCTTTGGATAGGTTGCACTTGTCGCACCTGATTATCATCGTTTGAATCCCATTAGGGGCCCCTATGTGGTCGCTGGGGTGAGTGGGGTGAAATTTGTAAACTTTTGAGATTCTTCAATGACTGTTTCTGTTTTACTTTCAACGGCTGAATTTTGGGAAAATTCGGTAGGACAATAGGTGGGCTATGTGGAGGCGTACAAGATCACACTCTGTGAGGAATCGTTACTGGACTGCCGGCGATTTCACCCATTCCAGTGATAGGGTCCCCTGGTACTCATGTAGATGGGGATCTACAGTGGGCGAGTCCAGCCTGTACTAAAAGGTGTGAAAGTTTGGTTGTTACCTCTTTGTTTGGGTCCATTGTCCAACTTCCGAAGGATTTAAAAGCTGCTTTTTCAGACGCCTGGAAGCTGTGTGGTAACTACTGTTCGGATCATGGTTGCGAAATATGCTATCTTACGGCACCAAGGGACTGTAAAACCGTATTTTGTCATTTTATCTTCAGTTTACCTGGATCGGCCAAGTGAAGCGCTGAACACGAGAGAAAAACAAGAATTGCCCACTTAGAGCTCTGGCTCGCCGTTCAACCTCTCTGACACGTTTCGCGTGTGAGCAGCGTTAGTGTAAAGCAATAAAAAGAAGAAAGCGACAAAAATCCCGACAAGCCTTAGGCTGCGTTTCACCGGGAGTGGAGAGTATGAGGAAGTAGGAGGGTAGCAAATAGCTCGATTAGGCGTCACAAAATTGCGCGTATGCACCATCATCGTACTACTACACACTACCGTACATTTTATGCACATGCCTAATAAAGTTGCTTCTACCCTCCCACTTCCTCCACTTCCCGGCTGGTTGGACGCTGGCATACACCGGAAGAGCGCTGCAGACGCCTAGTAGCACGCCTAGATCGGCTGTCGTATACTTTCCTAGTAGCTGGCGCTGCCAGACGCTTAATGAATCGCCTGGTGGACGTTGCAGCAAAGTAGGGAACGCAGTCCTACTTTGTAGGACGGACCTACCCGATGCGAAAAGGGTCTCTCCTCGCAGGTAATGTAGTGCGTGTCTTCAAACATCGTTGTTTAAATAACCCTCACCTGGCTGTATCGTTCGAAGAGCCAAAATTTCCTGTGTGTTCTCACATTTAGGCTCCAAAAACGTATGTACAGCACGGCGACCATCGTGTTCATCAGCAGAACATTGGCGATCAGCATGAAGACGGTCATAAAGAGTGGTGCAACAAAGTATCCAGGAACACATCCCTCGCCTGAAAAAAAGAACTAAGCTTGTGCAGCCTGCAGATGCTGAGGGGTGCCAGGAGGCTGGGTTTGCAACGCCAGCCCGTTTTCCACCAACTGTGGACACGTGCCCGCCTTAGGTATGATGAGAACAAGTTGAGGCGTGGTCGACGCCAGCTTTATAGCTTTCCCTGGCACTCCCCAGGATCCTCAGTCATCAGGGCTGTTACTGAACCGCTCTTGTGCAGGGCGCTCAAACTTGGCAGGCCTGAACCAAAGGACTCCCTAGGCCAAATATAAGGATTACCTCTACGAAGATGAGTGCTTTTGACTTGACAATGGGCATGAAGGAAGGACTCTCCGGAGCTGCGTTGAAACTAACTTCACGCTGCGGCAATTCTATATGCAAAGGATGATTCCAGCTTGCCCGGAAGCTTCGTCAAGCTTATAGCGCCTCTCGTAATTTGGGATGGTATTTGGAAGTAGAGTCCGTTCATCTTTAGCTTTTTAGGCTATGATGGCTTCTTAGCCACAACGAGATGAAAAGGTGAACTGTTGTGTGGGAGAGTACATTCACATTGTAGTCAAAGTGGAAATATGACCCCACGCTGAGACAGCTAGACCTTGGTGCATTGTGCACGCGTCATTTCGACCAAGCGAAGATGTTTTAACATCCTTCCAACCGAAACTCATTGCAAACGCTGTTTACTACCTCAAAAGTAGCAGAGTTGGACTACTCTGGCTCAGTGTCCTTTGGCATGCGGATACAGCTATAAAATCTTGAGTCTAGAACTAAAGTCTTTTGGGAGGCCGCCAAAAACTTCACAATAGAGTCGCAATGACGGGGGGGCGCCAGAAGTCATCGAATGAGCTTACCCGCGCGCTTCCTACCACATTCACTATTAATAGGTAAACGCCGGTCAGCAGGCAGAGCTCATTCCCCACTGCTTCCTGACAACCTCGCCCCGACTCACTTGCGACGATATGTCGACTAGAAGAGAGCAGTAGCATAGTGGCTTGCGTGGTTCCATGTGATCATGTGATTCAACAGCACATATGGACTTGTGAATTGCAAATGCCCAAGACTCAGCCATACTGACTAAGAAATTGTAATTATCATACCAGCAGAAAAATTATCTTGAAAGGAAACGCTCAAAAAATTCGTTTTATAAGACAGCTCTATTATGATCAAAAATTTCGAATATTTTGAAATTTTCCAAGAACTCACCCGTGATGTTGAGCAAACCAGACGCAATCGGCACTCCTTCATCTATATGGGCATCCCATACTGAAACGAATTATATCTTAAATAAACCTAGCAATTGAAAAATTCACAAGCGGACTTATTAGTGAGAGGTTCCTTTTGAGAAAAAACCGCCATCGTACGAAAGACGACTCACTCTCGTCTCCACAGACGTCGATCTCTGGCGCATAGACTTCACCATACAACATGAAGTACGGTTTGTAGAAGATGTTCCGGAGTAGAAGCCAATGCCAGTTCTCATAGGGATAAGTGATTGCTTCACGGACCAGGCCGAATGCCAACAGTGAAACGAACAACATCGCGAGAATCGGCAACATTCGAGGAATCTAAGAGGATGACAAAATACTCTAGAATTCGGTACAGCTCTTTTACACGGCCACTTTAGCTTCACAAGGGGGTCTGTACAGGCTTAGCCGAGTACCATTTGGTGCTCCACCGAGCCAAACTGCGCCTGTCTTCTTTCAATCTACGCTAATCACTCACCATTTCCGCAGCCATGGTTATATATGGTCCAAGTTGTCGGAAAAACTCGCATGTAATCCAATAGCTTGAACGACCACAACACTGAGTTACAGACTAAAAATACCCGGCCTGCCATTCTGAAAATTAAAGGACCCATATAAAATGCCTGGGATTGTAAATAATCTCATTGAATTTAAACAAATAAAATGTTCTAAAAATAAAAAGAAATAGAAAGAAAGTTTAAAAAGAAAGATTCAATAAAAGTCTTACCTTGTCGAAGGGTTGCATCGGATACAGAATGCTATTACATAGGTCACCGTGGCAAAAAGCAGCACACCATTCCGGTAGGTACCAAAGTAAAGCAGAACTTTCCGCCACATTTGTTGCTTTCGATCAATCATTACTATCATTACCAACTGAAGTATCCAGGATTTGATGAGGGATAAATAAGTGGCTAACTTAGTCACTTGAGTAATATTCGGCATAGTCTTGTTCGCAGCGGATGTTGGGGCGTGTCAGGGCTGATTTTGGCGCTC